ATGCACTGAAGTCACCGATGGCGCTTGTTCCTAACCACCATAGCTGCAGATGCCTGGATGAAATCTGCAACCTCTTACACCCACTGGACACAGCAGATGGCCGACTTATGGCTCCAAGGGACCTTCATGGATTTCTCCCCCCTTGAAATCACCCTATTTACCACTCTCCTTTGGTGTATAATAAAGGGCTTCTTTCTCCTCCCTGTTCCTCCCCCCTCAACGCCTCTCTCCAGCAGGAAGTAGCTCGAAGACCTCGACGACCTTACCCCCCAATAGAGGAAAAAGGGAGGAATGTAGGGCCCCATAAAACCCCAAATAAAACATTCCCTAAAACATGGCACCTTTCCAGATTCTCTTCCGGGTCCTAACATTCCTGCCGGCGCCAAAGTATGGCCTGTCAAAATCATCACCCGCCCTTCCGACCAATCAGCCACCGCCCCGCGTACTAACCACCCTCTCCCAGAACTTGGCTCTCTATAAATGTATGCTTCACCCTCAAATAAAGCGGAACTTCTCCGGTGAACTGTCAGCTCGGGTCCTGTTGTTCTTTCAATTGTAGTAAAACAGGTCTAATTTTTAAGACACATTGTAGCCTGCTGGCCCAAATTTCCCAGTACCACATTTAAGAGCATTTTCATAAAATAAAGTTCTACTTAAAATAATATGAATAGTGAGCACAGTCATTGCTTAATATCTCAAAATTAGGCATATAGAGTATTTAAGATTCTTAATAGGTAAGAAAAGGAATGGAGTACATAAAAGAAGACCTTGTTGCTTGTGGTACCTTACCTCAGGCAAGAAAATGGAGAAGTTCTTAATGGGTTTTCCTCAGTAGGAAAGAGGCCCCTGTACTCTGAAAGAATCATTCCTAACTGCAGTAAATAAATGACCACCTCAGACTTGGAACTGTCACAGAAATATGACAGATGAAACGCTTAAAACTCATTTCTGCTTTGGACCTAAACGACTACTAAAAAACAACCAATGATTTTTAAAAATGATTGCCTTTGATTTTTCATCTCTAGAGTCCTGTATAAGGCAGTCCAGTTTGTTCAGTTGTCTAGAAACAAAAACACAAAAGAGGCTAATCCTAGTACAGGCCAGTTAGGGCCTCACAGACACACCATCCTACCGATGCAGATTACACCTCCCATTCTTGCAAAAGTAGCCACTGATGCAAGGATTATCTGTATAAAATCCATAATTACTACTGAAAAAGAAAATCAGGGCACATATTCTAGTGACTGCTGGCCATAGCACCATATTCACAGATAAAGAAAAGACTATAAAATTAGTCCTGAAGACTAAATGTGCCGGAGGAAAGGCAAGAGGATGGAAGAGCAGGTGAAACTGCACCAGCAAATCTGTCAAAGACAAGTAAGATATCTGTTTATAAAATTATAATTTTTCATTGTGTGTTAATATATATTGCTTTTGTTAATTTTAGTTTTTCTATAAACTCACTGTATGAAATTTTTTTTTAAAGTTGGTTCAATAAACTAATTTAAAATTTTGGAGTATAGAAAATCCATTCCCCAAACAGGCAAAACAAAACAGCAAAAAACATTTTGAAAACTAAACAGTAATCCCTGAAAGCAAAGTGAAAACAAAACAAACGACAACAAAACAAACACTAAACAGTAATCCCTGAAAGCAAAGTGAAAACAAAAGAAACGACAACAAACAAAACAAACAAAAAAGGGGGGTAAATGAAATTAAGGAATTCAGCTAGTCTATACTATACATAGAGGTTGCTCAGGGCTTGGCTGTTAGCTTAGTTGATTAGAACGGGATGCTGATAACACCAAGTTCCAGGGTTTGATCCCTGCACTGGACAGCCACCAAAAAAAGGGGGTGGTGGTGGAGGGGAACTGTTCAGTGTTGGTTATGTGCAGCTACTGATTTTTTAGGGAATGCTACAAGAAGCCGTCACCAAAGGGCCCAGTCACAACCTCTTTCCATTCACAGGGGCCTGGGGGAGGAAAGCGAGGCAGATCTAGCCATTGGCTAGCAGCTGGAGGTCTTCACCTTGATCTCCTTGAAGAAGGAAGCAGTTTCACCCTCGATAATGGGCTGCAGCAAAGGGCTTCTCCGCTTGCTGGAGGGGGATCCCTGTGACAGGTGGTAACAAGTTGGTTACATTACGAACCCATTTCCTTTTCCCTCCAGCTCTTGGCCTCCTCTGACTTCACCAGTTTTCATTACTGTCTTTTAACTGTAGAGTCGAACCCCTCCCCGCCAAACACTCGCAGGAAAACCCACAACTACTAAAGTGCTCTTCCAAGTTGCTGCTTGGCTTCAGAGCCCACGCGCACTGGCTGAGGGGCCACACCTGCCGCCCCGCGCGCTTTCCGCCCCAAACACAGCAACTCCAAGAACACTTCACTATAACAAGCTGAGAACAATGGCAGGTCAGAAGGCCATGCAAAGGTCATCTGACTTCGGCTCCATATTTGCCCTATTTAGGCAGATTAAGGGTTCTTAACTGGAGAATGAGAAACACTCCTTACTATAATCTTTTTGTTTAATTTATTCTGCAGGGAACTTCCAGAAGAGTAGCTTTCTTCAAATACACCTGGATGCTCCTCATTCAGGAAAACAAGTACGTTGTTAAACTAGCAAGGATGTTTAAGGAAGCGCTAGATAAGAGCGGCAGCTAAAATGAATAAGCATGTCAAAGGCAACATCAAGGAGAGGGGTGTCTGCAGACTGAGAAGCCTGAAAGCCCGCAGAGGGGACGAGAGCCCCGAAATAGAGGCCTGCGTTTCCCTCAAGTGACAGGCAGGGCGTCAACACCCCCACTCTCTGCCGGAAGGGAGGCCCGGCTGTCCCGGAGCCGAAGGCACATTGCTGCTCCCCACTCTTGACAAGATCAAAATCCAGGGGCCAAAGCAGCTAGGTCCAAGGACGGTGGCCACGGAGAGCAATTTCACAGTGATTTTCCTCCCTCCTTTTCTTTTTCATTGCCTAGATGTCCCCATATCCTCCAAGAAGAGAGGCCTCTCTCCCTGAGTTCCTTAGAGGATTTCTCCCTGGATATGACTCCCAAGGGCGTTATCCCTGTCTTGAACCTCGAGAGGAGACTTAACAGAGGGCTCGTGGGAGCAGAGAGGTGCTCTTCAGAGTGAAGGGGCCTGAGAAAGCACAGTCCTGCCCCCTTGGTGCTCTGTCTCCGAGGAAAGGGCTGGGAGTCAGCCCAGCACATGTCAGATGGATGTACGTGGCCAAACCATGTTCCCCAAAGGGAAAAATAATTCTATCAGCTCCAGGTTGGTTCATTTTTGCCAAATGTAGCCTCAGAAAGCTTTGATAAAGTCTTTTTTCCTCCAGCTTGTGGGCCATGAATATTAGTGGCTGGTTCGACTACTAAAGGCTCTTCTTTAATGAGAAAGCAGGTTAGGACCCTATTAATATATCCAGGGCCCATTCAACCAGAAAGGTTTGTGCCAACAACAGAAAGGTATTGTACTTACAATGATGGGTATGGTGTTGACTCGGGACAGGATCTGTTTGACCAGCCGGTACCTGTCATACAGTGGCTTCATAACCTGACGTTCATTCTTTGTTACCTGCAAAGAAAGATCAAGAGAGCTGAGAAGCTGGCTTCTGGTGGTCATGCTACGAGCTGTCCAAGCTTGCTCTGGGCCCTTGTCCTAGAGAAAAATACAGCAACCTAAGCCTTACCATTCTTATAAAATGTATTTAAGCTCATAATATTATTTGTTCAATAAATATTTAAAATACCTACTCAGCTGCAGACAAATGGAAATTAACTCCATCGGTAGTATTGCTTTTTTGAAATCAAAACTATGATCATTCTTAGGTCCCTGCTTACAACTCCTCAAGGTTCAGAGTTTCCAGATGACTTAATATTTTTTGGGCTCAGGGAAAAAGGAAGCATGTATTTCTAATATAATACTTATCCTGCAGTCCTGTAATCAATTTATTTACATGTCTTTTTCCCCCATGAAATTGTTATGTTTTTAAAAATAAGATTCTGGTAAACAGTAGGTATTCAAGGAACATTTGCTGACAGAATACATGGATTGACACATCCTTGCATCCCTAAAATCTGGCACAGGCCTCAACATTTAAAAGACTGATTCTATAGGCAGTGGGGAGGAATCCAGTCCAGCTCCCTGGTACAGTATCTCTATGTGCTGCGTCTCTCCTCCCCATCACACCTCAAGCTCCAGAAATAAAGCAGGTCGTCTCAAACCTCCTTGTCAAGTTCCCTCTGCCCTGACATGGCTTCCTCTCTGCCCCTTTGTTTGACCAATTCCAGCTGAAGAGCCACCTCCCGGTGCAGCCTTCTTGCAACATCCCCCATTCTGGGAGACTTACTCGTTCTCTGTTTTGCGTCACCACCCCACCTGCGTATACTTTATAATTTCACAAACACTTTTACACGCTATCATAACTGTTCGTTGACACACCTGTCTCCTCTGTTAGACTGTAGCCCCTTGAGAGCGGAGTTTATGTTTTTGTATCCCTAGTAACTATTTCAGTGCCTGACATATTGGAATTATTCCTTAAATATTTGCAAAATGAGCGAATATTTCAAACATAAATAGGTATGCCCAATTTACAGGTATGCGTGCATTTCCTTTAGGTACTTACATGGGGAATGAGATGAAGTATCTTTGTTTCAGGTTAGCGATTTGACTTCTGCATTCTACCACCCTTCCACACAGAGTAAGGCAGGGGTTTTAGAGGTAAGGAAGGGCAAGTAGTATTAGCTTTGACCACTTATGTTTTTTGAACGCTCGACTTCAAAGACAACTCTGGGTTATGCATAAATGGATTACCCCTTGTTGCCTTTTGTATTTGCTTTTCTCAAAGTAACCAACAGTGAGCGCACTCTGGATAAACTTCACAAGCTAGGATGGACACTGTCATCATGCAAAACATTTTATGAATGTTTTTATCATTAGCAATAATAATAACCTTTTATTTTTATCTCTTCCGTAATCATAATATTAAAGGGTGATTGGCATATTTGTGTTTCTACTATCTACTGTACCAAAAGGAGTTTTAAAATTGGTACTTCATAAAAAAATTACTGTCAAAACTGGAAGGGAACTCAGGAATGACTTCATATGAAGAAGACTGAGACCAAACCACAGGTGTTACTACTGCACACCCGCCACAATGGCTAAACTGAAAACACAGTGTGTAGTGTCAGTGAGAACACTGAACAACTAGACCTCCCCTTCACTGCTGGTAAGGGGGAAACACTTTGGAAAACTATTTGGCATTATCAACTAAAGTTCAACACATGACCTATCAATTCCACTCTTAAGTATATACCAAACAAATGTGTCCTAAGTTCATCAAAGACATATATAAAAATGTTCACAGCAGCACTAATTATAATAGCCCTAAACTGGAAACCACCCATATACCCATGAACAGAAGAGCAGATACAATATATTCCCCAAATTGAATATTAAAGAGCAACAGAAATGAATAAACCACAGCTATATGCAACCTCATGGATCAATTTCACAATAATAGAGCTGACTAAGATAAGCCAGACACAAAGGAATATATACTGTAAGATTCCACTTATATAAAGATCAAAAATAATACAAATCTGTAGTGTTAGAATACATGTCAAGATCATGGTTTTCCTTGGTGGGACTGGGAGTCAGGCTGTTGACTGGAATGGGACACCAGGAGATCTTCCGAAGGTTGGCAATATTTTGTTTCTTGATCTGGGTATCTGGGTTTGTTTACTTTGTGAAAATTCATCAAGACATATTTATAATTTGGGGTCTTTTCTGTATTTACGTTATACTTCAACAAAAGTTCAATAGACACAAATAAGACCGAGGAACAGAAATGAAGTAACTCGGACAATGTCACATGTAAAATAACAAAATTTAGGACTGCAACACATGAAATAGTGTTTTCGATACAAGTTGTATCCATTAAATATGTTGCAAGTGAGTTTAAGGCAGATGATGCTGTTGACACATGACATGTGGTGAGGTATAATGTGCAAGATAAATAGATGAGTGATCGAAAGCATACCCAAGACAGAAATGATAATAACTAGCTAGCATTTCCCAGGTGTGGATTAGCATCCTATTACTAGTTACTGGGCAGAAACATCTTTGGTTTGTTTACCAAAGGAGACTTGGCTGGTAAAATCAACCAGATATGACAAATTTGAGAGAAACCAGTTTCTTTTCTAATTCTTTGTTCAGAAACCAAGTTTCCTAGTTGGAGGAGATGAAGAAGATCACTGGTTTAATTCTTTGGCTTATGACACTGATATTTAGATTTTCTATGAATTGCTTATGTTTGTAATTAGTGACCCTCAGGAACTAATCACCTGTGGGTGATCTGATAAAATCCAGTTGACTACGGAGAGTTAAAACTCATCATGATTCCACCAAACCTAACGTTGGCATTTGATAGAAGTACCTAAACAATAATAACAGCAAAGATGTTTAAGTCTGAGGTGATGGAAAGGTAAAAATTACTACTACTTGGTTGATTTACACAATTACTTTCATGATACATATTTGTAACAAAAGGCTTGGTGATACTATCTATAAGTTAATACAACTTTTGCCTATCATAAAGCCCTATCACATGCAATTATCAGTGCTGAGTTTGTGAGTAGAACCAAAATCTACCCAAGAGTTATATGAACAAAGCAGGTCCTTGGCTGACTGTCAAAAAAGGGCCAGGTGATATTAACTGCATCACGGGAAAACTGTGTGGAAGTTGACATCACTTATTCTTGAGTCATCAGCTGCTCGGGGATTCTGCCGCTAACCAAAGGACTTTGAATGAGCCACTGAAGTTCTCTGAGCTTCAGAGAACTGTTGGGTAAATTTTCCTGTTTGGTAAATTGCAGAATTCTATTAGAAACCCTTTATGATCCATAATTGCTTGAAAATGACTTTAGGCCAAGCATATAGTATACTGTCTCTTCAAAATATTCTCCTCTTGCTTCAAAACATTACTTCTCATTTAAGTGGTGGTGCCGAATGGTTTTCCAATGTGTGGAAATAGGGTTATTATTCAGAAGTATTTTTGCACACAAATTAAAACAGTGTAAATCTATAGATATGAAGATCTGATGGGAGAAGGCAGCACTTCCGCTCTTTGTTTATGACTCAAAGAGAGCTTCATCTGCAGGTCTCTTACTATGCTATCTGGTAGCTCGACAAGTCTCAGATAATATGTCAAAACACAGTGGGACACTAGCCAATAATTTTCTACATGTAATTAGTGGCAAGTCTTGAACAGAAAATCATAAAGGCCTGACTACACAGCTGCATTTGCCTGCCTTTATCTTTCGCGATAGTTTTTGTCTTAGCCTCAAATAAAACTTCCCTACAGAAACATCATTTTGGTTGCTGTTACCTGGACAGAATCACAAGGTGAAAGGTAAAAAATGATTGACATATTTGCTTTGAAAATAAGGATAAAATTAGAACCATGGAATGTTACAGCCAGAAAAGTTTGCAATGGAGAGGGTAATGATTTGCCTAAGGTGATAGAGCTAGGTCAGGAACCCAGGTTTACTGACACTCAGTCCAGTTTTCTTGCAACTCACAAATAAGTACAGGCATGAAGTGAAGTAGGATCTTAACAGAGTGTGGTAGTGTAGCTCTATCCTCTAATAGGGTTTGACCAAGTTGTATTATAAATAATTCTGCCTTCCAAGCTGAAACTCTGCCTGTATTGAGTTTACAAAGATCTCTGCTTATGAACAGGGGCACAAAAGCACAACCTTGTGAGGGGGTCAACAAGAAACCACACTGCATCGAAATCATCTTAGTAAAACAAAAAGTGGTTTGAGTTTGTGTGTGGAGTCATAAAACTGCTAGAAGAAGACAAAATGAGATGGAGTCTTATATCTTGCATTCTTGGACCATGAATTTGGAAAATCTCAACTATTTATTCTTCATTATCAGGTAATCATAGCAGGCTATCTGTGCAAAGATCAGAAAATCCCAAAAAAGCAGATAACCAAAGGGTAGTATTTATGTATAGCTATATGGTTTGCATTTAAATTTGAACATGGCTATGTTCAATGGTGTGTTAGTCCCCAAGGTTTTAAAATACAAGATTAAAATATACCAGTGAGGAAGAGACTCAGGAAGAATCCAGAACCTCTATCGAGCAACCCCTTCTCTCCTCTCCACACTGGCTGCAGAAGAGTAGGATGTACAGAAGGAAACATGCTGAGCTGCAGCTATTTGTGGCACTTCTCTCTGTGACAGGGTCTTTTGATAAGATCCTTAAATGTCGAAAAGAACACATTTTAATGATAATTAATAGGGAATTATGTGCTGGGAAATGAAAACTAAAGTTTTGAAGCAAGAGGAGTATTTTGAAGAGACAGTATGCTACACAGTTGGCCTAAAGTCATTTCAAGCAATGAAAATGAGTGTAAACTAGTGCGTTTTTGTTTTCCATGCATGTGTCAGTCCCTAGAGTACTCAGTTAAAGCAAATAGCATTGCTAAAAAAATGTACAGAAGCAGCAGATAACTGTTTTGACCTGAGATTTTGATGGTGTCTCTTTAAATCAGAATTTGAGACTCAGCAAAAACCCATGAATTCTGAGCATGTACTTTTCTAATAAACTGGGGTTTGGAATGATAGCTCAGCTTTGGAAATACATGTATTTTTCTTCTAGTATTGTCCCAGTGGTTATTTACAGTCCAGGGTCCATAGTAATACCACAGATCTAAGAATTAAAAGTTCACTCTTTGATTTTTAGATTGGACAGTTATCAAATGAACTCTGCTTTTCCTGTGGAGGTTGCAGCATCATGTTCCAGAGAGAGGTAGAGAGTCTGGCCTGGGACCAGAAATAAATGACACTTAAATTTCCTAAAGCATTTGTTCCCTGCCTGTGAGATACTAGAATCCAGACCCCTTTGAAAGAATGAGGAAAGAAAAGGGAATAATAAAGCAGGACCAAGAACTAATATTTCATATTCCTAATGATAAGAGGACTAAAAAATGTGCTTTCTTTCTCTTGATTTAGTCATTTAATCAGAACTAGGCTGCAGAGAGTACAACATATAATTGTAACAGAAGTGAAAACTATCATTTACTGTGCTACTTTGCCCCACTTCCTCAGGGCCTGACATCCTTCAGGTAAATATATACATACATACATACATATATATATATATATATATATCTGTGTAATGTCATTTAATCCCCATAACAACCTATAACACGATAACCTGAACAGATTATGTAGACCAAGGGGTTACCTGAGTAGCACAAGGTCGCAGAACTAGTCTCAGCAGGGCTGGACTCTGAATCTAGGTCTGCCCAGTGGAAGGCTCACAGTGTCTGCACATTGCCCCAATCCAAGCTGAACGAGAGAATCTGTGCCCAACAAATACTGCAGAACACAAACTGCTGAACTGGCAGCAAGGTTAAATCTGTGTAGAAGGCAGCTGTGAGCTCTCGGGGTCTCGGGCAAGGAAGTCCTTAAAGGAGTCTATCAACGTCATAACCGGAATCCATACAATGAAAAGAAGAAATTTAAAGAAAGAAAACACACAGCTCCCCCCTCCTTCACTGAGGCTCATCCAGTAGCCGCAAGGAGATCCACTCTTATAGGTTCTAAGCCTATGATGGAGAAGAGCTTTCTCTCTGTTCACAGACGTTCAGTTCTACTTCTGCGAGTTCTGAATACTCCAGTAGAGAAGGACGAAGTTTCACAATATATTTGAGCTCTAGAACATTTACTATTTGGTTCAATGCCTTTAAAAAATCCAAAACAAAACTTGGCTGAAACATGGACATTATCCCAGAGTGTTGGTATTTTTCCACTGCAAGGACAGGCCAGCGAAATCAATCATCAGTGCCAGAATTTTTTTTTTTTTTTAACTTAAACCTGATAAATTCAGAACCAAAATGCCATGGAGGAAGCATTCTACAGATAGTTACTGGACACATGCAATGTGTCAGGTCTTGTGCTAGATGCTCAGGGTTAGGTTCAAAGGTGTACACAGCTCAGAATTCTTATCCTCACAGACCGCAGAGTCTAATGAATTACTCTGCAACCTTTATTTAAAAGAGCATATTTTAGATGAAAAGACTATGTCTATTATATAGTTATGGCTGAGACTGGAAAAGAGATCTGTTTTTTTGGCAATATAAAAATCCAGCTGTAAACCTAAACTTCATGCTTCCTTGTACCTGCTTTTAAGAATTTGTTTTGTTAGAGTCTTAAGAACTTTATGTTGTCAGGAGTAACTGCCAAGAAGGACGTCTGATTACAGCTTCCTCAAGGAAGAGAGAAGCCTATCATGCTACCGCCTCCCCCACAGCTAACAACAAACATTCGATAAGCATCTTCTGAATGACAAATCACTTCCAATGCCTCCTGTTGTTATGCAAAGGCAAAGCCATATTTTGGATTCCTCACACTTTCTGAAGGCAGCTGGAGCTTTTAGACAAACAATGATTGCAACTGCATTCCAGAGAGATTAATTTCAGGGCATATCATTCTAGTTTAACAACTTCATTTTATGGATGAGAAAGCCTAGAGCCTATGGGGGCGGACGTAGGGACAGGGAAGTCTCCTCACTTCAGCGCTCTGTGCACCCTATACTCTGCCCCCCACATTTTCCCCCTTAAAGCAGGACACCAGTGAGTAAATTTTAGTTGCAAACTCATTTTTTGTTTGAACTCAATTAAGTTCAATGTCTCCTAGACAGTGGAACTCTCTCATCGGCTAAGCCTTCAGAAAGTTTAATTATGGTGTAAATATATGGTAACTTCCTTTATTCTAAAAGCAAAGAAAGCAAACATTAGTGAACCCCATTTGCAAGATACCAGACACAGAAAATCTATTTCTAAATCTAGATAATTAACCCCAATCAGAAAACTCAGTGCCTCACATACCGGCCGTCCATGAATGCTTTCATAATATAACAGAGCTTTCTGCAGAGCCACTTTCTCATTAGCAATTTGGTCTTTGGTCATATCCTGTATAAACAGGGATAGAGAAATGACAAAGAAGGAAAACATTTATGAACATTTTAACTTCTTCAGTTAAACAAATCTACTAAAGTAAGGTTAAAAAGAATCCTCATACAATAGCTCGCCCTAGCTCTATCCAAAGTTCCCTTAGGAACAAGCCATTCCTAACCCCTTGCTAGAAATATGGAGAGTAGAGCAGAGTCATCATGAACTACTTGGATCTCTAGTGTGGCAGTAAAGGCATGTTCACTACTTAAGTAAGCAGGACTGAGAGGCATGTGGGGCTTAGCTTATGGTCCAAGCAATGACTACAGTTACAGGCTCCACAGTCCCAAAGGTTTGTCTCTAATCCTTCTACCTCAGAGAGTCACTAATCTGTCTATCAACCTGAACAAGTTCATTTCGCAATATATACAATAGAGTAGTCTGCCTTCAATCTGTAGTCAAAAACCAAAGTACCCACGGATGAAACACAACTCTCGAGTTGTTTCATCTGTTTCTTTGGACATGGAAGAGTGTGGAAGGTTTAAAAAGGCACTGCTCTTCCCATTGGGTTCATGCAGCATGCCCTATGTTTCTACCATGTTGACCGCAGGGGCTCAGGATGAGCAGTTAGCTTGGGGCTTTCACAGAATCATCGCACCTTAATGTCCTCGGGACGGCTGGTTTCTGCACGCTTCTCCTGGAGCCTCCTCTGGATAGACTCCAGCGTGGCTTCCACGCCAGGCTTTAGGGCTTTATCTCCCAGCTCTTGCTTCTTATCATCTTCTTTCTCAAGTTGGGAACCAAAACTCTTGGGGAGTGTGTTGCTTCGCTGCCGCATCCGGGGGGCTAGGTCTTCTTCTGATAACTTTAGTTTTGACTCTAGTTGAAAAGAGATTTGGGAGTAAAGATATATGAGAATGCATGTCTGTTTTTCTCTGGTGTCAATAACTGCTTAGTCCTGTCTTTTTTCAGAGGGTGTCTAATTATAATATCAGTGGAAATCCCCGAGTTATTATGTAAAGTCTGAGATAATGATAATGTCTTCCTGGATGATGTGAAATGTCTCCTGACAACCAATTCCTGAGAAAGCTTTAGCTATTTGACATCATCCATGCTGTAGTTACACCCACCCGTGTGCTGATATTAGAATGCGGCAGATCTTCCCATCCTTGTTCCCGTAGTGTCGAAACGTATTTACTGATCTAATGCCCAGCCCCCGGCCAACATTTTGTTGTATGACTTACATTGCTTATTTTGAAATCATTTTCACTTTGTATTCTATATAGCTGCTTATACAACTATCTCATAAAAGATAGCAAGCTCTGTGAGGGACAGGTGACAAACCTTTTTCAGGTTCATCTCTGTGTCCATATGTCTTCTAATACCACGGCAAACAGAGCCTTGGATTAAACAGGTGCTTAAGAAGCGTTGACTTGAAGCATCATCCTTTTATTAGTGACTTAAGGAAAAGAAATGCTGCAGAATTTGCATCTTGGCTGATCTGGCTGGCCTGTGATTGAGATCATGGGAAGCCATGGGGAAGCTGTCACCCTGAATAAAAGAGCACTGAGGAGAAGGAACCTGGAATACCTGAGCAGTGGCACTCGGCATGAGGTGAGATGATGGATTCGGCACCTGGCCTATTGTACACAAGACAAGCCGCAGGCCCAGAGCTTCACCTACCTTTAAGTTGCTTTCGGAACTTGGCAAGGTCATTTGTCCATTTCAGAACCTCTGGATTGGCTGCTTTGTCGCTGTGAGATGGCTGAGGAAAAAAGTCAAGGGTAAATGTTTTACTGGGGCAGGAAAAAGAAGTGCTTAATGATCAATTTTGTTTTAAATAGGAAGGAAAAGTTGAGTCCCATCAGAATAAGAAACTAATCATGATCAATCAGAGCAAAATTTGTAAGAGCAATTCCATTATCCTTCTTAACATCTGGCTATTTTTGATGCTTTCAAAGAATTCCTCAGAAGGCAAAATGCTTTCCATTATCTGTAGGGTAACCTCTAAGGCTAGCAGAGTAGAAAACAGAGGAGTATATGAGGTTCTGCACTGCAACCACCATAGACAACACCTCTTTGCAACTCTTGCGGGAAATACTAAGGACAGAGCTAAGGGTAGAATGAGCTCAGTATTAATGAAATTGTAGAAGAAGATAATCTTGAATTAAGTTTTAGCCAAACAAAAGATTTCATTCAACAATTTTTCCCATTCCTGCTCATTAATACATTTATAAAATGTAGAGGTAAGCTTTCAAAATATTTGTAGGAATACACTTGTGTAAGAAAAATGCTGATACCTGATGACTGGGGTTTATCAGGGTTTACTATCCAGTTTTTACTGCCTTTTTGTTTTGAGAGTCCCTAAAAATCTCCCTTGTCTTTGATCGCTTCTTTGAGTTGTTGACATGGTGGCATGTTGAGGGACAGGAGGCGACGGAGGGAACCCTGTGACGGGGCACTTACTCTGTACTTCCTCTCTTCTTCAAATCTGTCCTCAAACTTTCGGATCTTCTTTTTGAGGCTCTGAATCCTCCGTGTGAGCTGAGCAGGTGTCAGGTCCTCTTGCTCATCATCGTAGGACCCCAGAGAGGAACTTCGCCTCCTGTGAGGAGCACAGTTTGGGTCAGCTTCCCCACGAGCAGTCATGGCCTGCTGAGGGGGCTCTGGAGATGTGGGACGCCATATGGCACAGAGGAGGAGACTCAAGACAGCCTCCACCCTCTGGAATAAAAAGAAAGTTGACAGATTCATCTTATGACTTTGAGCTCTGTCTGTCCCACCCAGTAAGCACGTCTAATGTTCTCCAGCTCACATTTACAATTGGCAAAGGCAGGACTGAATGTGTACCTTTGCTGTAGGCCTAAAAGTTAAACTGCAGAGAGCTTTGGAAAGGAGGCATAAGGAAATGCAGTATGTCATGTCGCAGCTTGGCCACAGATCAACTAAAAACTACAATACAGCCTGTGTTCTAGGACGGAGAATTTCAAATACCTTCCACCACAGACTCACAACTTGATTTTTGAAAAATTACCAGCCATCAGCACCATCCCTATCTTTTCTAATGCTGCAAAGATGCTGCATTTGCTTATCAGCAACAGAGAAACATACCTCATGAAAGAATGGGAATTTGGGGGCGAGGGGGGGACTTCTGTGTCATCCAGGTACTGCCGACCTTGCCCGTAAGTGTAGAACCGAGGAGAGAGCATGGGGTCACTGTCCTCATCCAGAAGCTGACGAATCAGGCGCCCGGCCTGCGGGGAGAGGCGGGCTTCGTCAGAGTCCACGTTCTCCCGCTGCCAGGAGGAGAAAGTAGGGATGGGCTCTGGAAAACAACGGTGGTAAGAGGTCAAAATTGTTCTTTAAAGCTCAGTGGTTTCCCAAGTTTCCTGAATGCTTTAGAGGAAGCTGCCCACCGAATGTTTTCTCATTTTAGATCTAAGGTTCAGAATAGCAAGGCTATACCCCAACCAAAATCACCAATATACCTGATGGCCATCATCTACCTTTTATCTCTATTCTCACTTGCTTTCAGAAGAGAATTTGCTAGGGCTTCCCTGAGAAACGGCTTGAAAGAGAACCAATAGCGTATGCTTACAACTTCCCTAGAAGGTCAGTGATGAAAACTTTTCCATCTGAGGTCATTATTAAAAAGCAAGTGTGTCAGGGAGGGAGGTATCTGGCATCATGGCTATCCAACCTTCACTGAAACAACTAAGGATTCAAGCTAAGGAACCACATTACTCTTGTGAGAGCCTATTTATGTAGAAGTTTACAGCTTCCTTTCAGTTATCTAGGAAGCAGATTTGTGTGCTTCTGTCAAGTGCGTTGGGATCAGCACATGTATGGTGCATGCTTTGCACTTGAAACTTCAGAAGCTGCTCAAGACTACAGAGTGAGAGATACATACATAAGATAGTCAAATGAGAAAAAAAAGAATGCCTTACAAAGGACACATCTGTACAAACTATTTTGACAATCTGTAAGAAAAAAACATACTCAGCACAAAATCCTGACCTGTCATTTTGGGAGGGAATAGGGTCATGTTTATTTCTATTTACTGCAAAACTCACCTCAATATATTCCTTTCCTTATTAAAAAAAAATACTTTCTAGAAGATTATAAAGATAGAGCTCAGGCAATATAGGGTATCTCATTTGTAATACTCTGCATTAAAAAAAAAAAGTTGTGCTTTAAATCTACTTGTGGATTACTGTGATTTACACAAGGCTGGAATTTGGCCATGATCTTAAATTCTGGAATTCCTAGAGTTTGAACCATGAAAGAGCTCCTTCAGCTATCAAACTATAAAACGTACAAAATGATCTTAAATAAGTGCTTATTCAACACTTTATCTAAAAAGACCATATAACAATTGTAAAATAATAACTACCAACACACAGGTCTTCACACTCGATTAAACAGAATATTTAGATGAGGTTCCAAATATGCATGCCCCCCCCACCCCGCTTTAAAAAACTCTCCAAGTGATTCCAATGTGTAGCCAGGTTTGAGAACCACTGATCCAACCCAGCAGGTTACAGATAAGGAAACTGAAACCCAAAGAAGAACAAATACTTATCAAAGACAAGAGTTGGGACTAGAAACTAAATCTCCTGACTTCCAGATCAGTGCTTCACTTTAGAATGTGCCAAGTGCTTCAGTAACAATGATGGCTGTCAGAAATTTTTGAAGACCCTACAGTGTAACAGGGAAGATAAGCACATTAATTAAAAAAAAAACTTAACCTCGTATTGATCAAGGTCTAAAGGTTCTCAAAATGTAAAGAGAGCCAAGATGAAAATATAGATATTTTGAAAAATGAAAGCAGTGTTAAAGACAGGTTCTTGTCTATTGAGGCTGAACAAGTGGCAGAGAATATGTTAGTAGATATACTTGGCGAAAGCTGGAGATGAACAGGAGGTGCTTCACCCTTTGTACCAACACTATCGGCCCTCTCCTCCTAAGCAGGAGGGCTCAGATATGAGCAGCTTGGAACTGCCAACTGAAAGAGTAACAAATGGACTAAGAAGGGAAGTAATAAGAGGGTGAGTGGAAAGTAATCCCTAGGAAAAATAAAAAATTTAGTGTTAAGTTGCAGAAAATGGAACTATTAAATTGACCAGATTGCATCTTCTATTTCATGGTATTTCATAAGAGCAGTTATTTTGTGCAAGGACTAAAATCAATAGAGCCAGGCCAGGGAGAGGGTTATGATGGCTTGAACAGTAGTGCAGCAGGCAATAACTTCCTCGCAGAGCGGCAAAGGAGCAAAACAACTGGGGGAAAGGCAAGACGCTCCATCAGGGACACAGGGCTTTGGCAAAACAGATCTGATGTTGATACTGGCATCCAGATGTGTGGTTAGATTGATATTTCTACTCATCAAAACTTAGTTTCAAAAGGTGTTAGATCCTGAAGCTCTTTGTCTGATTCTAGCAGAATATCTCTTTAAAAAGGTTACAACTAATCTTTGGTTTAAGTTTTCAACCAGGTGACCTCTGTGTACAAAATATTGCAGAAAGAGTGTGTGTCTGTGTGCACTAACCAAACATGTCTCCAATAAAAGATAAACTGTGATCTTGAATTCACTATGAAATACTAATCATGGGACAAAATTATCATTGCTGTGTAGCTAACATGGGCCATCCATTAGTTTTCTTGTTTGTTAGCACAGCTTCACTTTGTGGCTCCATTCCTGACCAACTACTTCACTAATAGAAGACTAAATGTGTTTTCTCCTATTGTTACCAGTGTTATATAGGAAATGCACAGCTGAAGAAATCCTAGCTTGTAGGTGGCATTTTTTCTTAAAGCATGTGGTTAGGACAAACAAATTCACTTATTTAAAAATGAGAACTGTAGAACCATTAAGAATTTCAGCATTAACAAAATAAAAGGGAATGTTTCATCATTTGTCTGCCTGCAGAACAGAAGTGAAAGGTTTCTTACCAATGTAATGTGAAATGCTTATATGATTTCTCTCTCCTTTTTCTCCTTCCTGTTACTCTAGATGGTCTTATAATTTAAGGCTCCTCTTCAAAAGTTATAAAATGACATGTACTACATAGTTCAATATAACTAAAGATTCAATAAAACCAACTATCTCCCTGTTTTATTTTGAAATGATTTAAAAACTCAAGGCTATCTCATGTTTTAATAGTTGGCACTCAACTAGAAAAACAAGTAAGAACTAAATAGAACAGTTTGGCACATAATATGACCAATTGCATTACCTTTTTAGAGAGCCAGTTTTGAGGATGTATTCACTGACAAGTACCAATTGTAGTTAGGGAATTATTTTATATTTTAACTAGTAATTCTAAAGCAATGAAACAAACAGGATATCGCAAGAAAATTATTCAAAAGGAAAACAGAAAAGATTTGAGGCTTCAAATTGGATGTTCATCCTAAAGCACCCCATAAAATAAATGCATTTTCATACTTAGACCAAAATTCCTTGGGTACAGTGATTTCACTTTTAGTCATGTGTCTTGCCACAATGAACTCAGGATATAAATATGACATGTCTCTCTATCAGGTCAGCTGACATCACAGCAAGCAGGTAAGAAATAACAGAGTTAAAGCTGTAAGCTTGCTATTTAAGTAATAAAAAAGAGTAGGTCCTGGGGAAGTTCCAATTCAGACACTACAGTGCACATGGAAATAAAGGAAATTCACTGTAGGAAGAGGGAACATATATCTCTGAGTAATGCTAATGTGGTCACTGGGATATACCTACTCTCTGCTTAGCTGGCTGTGGAGATGATTTATTTCTAAGAAATCTGCACAGAATTAAGGGAGCTGATTTTTTCCACATTTCATTTCCAACTATGTTATTTACAGCCATTACTACTTGGCATGATGTCATAATCATCTTTCTTCTCATTTGTGCTAGTAGGTATTTACACTTCTAAGACAGAAAGTTGTAAGCACCATTGGGAGGTTCTTTACTGGGTAACCTTCTATAACAATTTCCTTAGTGTTCCAAAATTAAACCTTTAGAACAATGGTGGTCCTATTAAAAGACACAAACAGGCTTGCTAACTATCAGAGTTAGAAGGAACCTTGGCAGTCAGCTTTACCAATCACAAATTTAATGCTTAAATTTCATATATATCTGTTTTGCCCCCAGCAAAGTTAATAAGCAGGCCATCAATAGCCCCATTTAAATCATTACTAAATGTGTGGAACAGGATAGGACTGAGGACTTCACCTAATGAGAATATCCCCATTTGAGCTGACTTTGATACATGCACCTGCACATTTAAGTGCAGTTGCTTAATCAGTTACTAACTCACTATGCTACCTGCCTTCTATCCCTTCCACATCTCTGACAAGGCTATCATCATGGCCCTGAGAAAGGCCCCACAGAGGTCCTTTCAAATGCAACATTTCTCTAATCCAGAGTCTAGTTACATAATAAAAGAAAGAAAGAAGGTTGGAGTGATATAGTTAGTCCTTAGTAAATCTGTGGAGGACCTTGTAATTACTGATTCCTCTTCTGTGTTCAGAGCCGTCCATGGTCATAAGGTAAAATTGGGCTCTGATTTCAAAGAAGGCAAACTGAGGCTGATTTTTCCTGAAACTGTACTCGGAAATATTTATAGAAGATAACAACTCACATTCACATAGTGTCTATCTACTATGTGCCCACACTGTGTTGAGCACTTTGCAGATTTTAGCCCATTTAATCCTTGCAACAAACTTACTAAGTAGATACTACTATATTTATTATTCATTGTTATCTATTATTATATTTATTTAAAGATGGGGAAATTAAAGCAAAACTAAGACAGGTTTAACTTGCCCGCAAAGCTGGATAAGCAGCAGCACCAAGATTTGAACCCAGGGGGTCTGGCTCTTAACCACTCTGGTCTACTGCCTGCCATGACACATGACTGGCATTGTGCAGAAAGAGGCATCCAGTAGAAGTCAGGAGCCTTTGTTACTCTGAATCATCATTTTGCCTCTTGGCTTCAGCTTTCTTATCTGTATGATGGGAGTGTTCAATTGGAAGAGCTCTTAAGTTCCCATGCTTCTCTATGATTCTTGTACTGGATTTTCTTTCCAAAGTTATTTTCGATAAGCAGTAAGTGATGAATAAGATATGTCAATTATGAGCATACTTCAAAAAGTTCATGGAAAGATTAGTATTACCTTTTAATTCTATTTTCTATGAACTTTCTGAAGTACCCTCATATTTTATGCCCTTTTAAAAATGTTAAAATTAGTTTTACAATGGCAAATCAAATAGAGTAGTTAGTGTTTAAACCCCAGTACTTCCAGAAATGATACACCCAAATCAACATGAATTGGCTGCTTGGGAACATTCTAATTATGCAACTCTGAAGGGCTTTATATAACACAGAATATTATGTTTAATTTGTGTATTCATTTAACTTTGGAGAGTGGAAACCCTAATAATAATAATAATAATAATACAGGGTCATCCAGGATAGATCCATATCAAATAACATGCCCTAAAACATAGCTACATAGAAGCATCACTAGACTCAGACCCTACACTAACTGTGAGAGGGTTCCACTCTGTGCAGCCTATGGAATCTACTTATTAGTTTCATTTCCCTTTTTGTTTCCTTGATGCTAAGCCCCAGAAGCCAGAGAACATCATTTGCATATGGCAGCACACACTGCAGAGGCCAGCACGAGCAGGCTGTTCACTGAGCACTGCCTCCCCTGCTATTCTACGATTCCACGTCAGTGGGAGAGTATGAACTATGCCGTGTGAAGATCAAGCAAACGAGAAAGGGGGGTTGTGCCACATGGCAGCTTAAAGACTGGTGATGCGGGCCTACAGATAGATACTGGTTCCTACGGTTTTTAGTAATTATTACTTCCATTTCTGTATTTTGTTCCATTGTTTTCACATTTGCAACGTAAATTAATGCAAAGTTTATTCCTTATTGAATAGGAATTTTGTTTCTTACTGAAGCTATAAAAAGGTGATATTTTAGTGATCATAATTATTGCTCTCATTTTATTTACCCTTTCTGCAGAAATTCCCTTATTTTGACTACACTTACAGCCATATGACTGCTATGATGTAACTTGGAATGTTAACATAAATATATAATAAAAAAAGTCACTGAAAAGCAGTAACCAAATGATTGAAATGATCCTGAAATGAATCCGTGTAGATTTTTAAGACATGCAAGGTCAATGACAAATGCAGTAATTGGCAAAAAAAAAAAAAGAGCAAATTATTTCATAAATTACATGGATAAAACAATTCACATTCCCAAGCTTATTGAAATGAAATGTATTTTCTTCTCAATTAACCTTTTAAAAAATCCATCTAGATTTACAAAATAAAATGACAATGATTTTTATCTGGAAGAAAGTTCTTTAAGTAATGAAATAAGTTTTAAGGAAATTATAAATTGGCTTTCAACTACTCTGAAGAGAATTTTCAGCTGTATATTAGCCTCTTTAAGTGTGCTGGGAAAGATTATAAATTTATGCTTAGCCAACATAAAAATAATCAAACTGAGTCCATTTCAGGAGGAGGAGGAGGAGGAAGAAGATAATGTGGCCAACGTGAACTCTGACCAAAAAGCATAGTTCCTATTGAGAGGTTTAGGGGCAGACCATACCACTAAAACCCAAATATAGTATTTATTTTGATTACTGCTTTTTTCTTTTATTTGGGTAACAGTGACTATGGGACTTTTTTTCCGGCATGTGGGGGTGGAGGTTATTCTTAATGTATCAATTAAAAGCTAACACATGATTATATCAAAGTACACAAGAATGAAAGGAACAAAACAGTCCTCAGGAATACATCACTTAAATTAAAAACAAAACAAAACAACTCAGCATTTTTGTGCTTAGTGAGTATGTTATGAGCTGGAAACATCTGACAAAATCTCAGATCCACTGCCCTAATTATATTAAAGGAATTAAAACAGTTTTCTTAGATTACAAGGAGGGAGGACTAGAATAAAAAACAAAACAAAACAAAACAGTTTATCTGCTTGTTTTCACTGAAGCCCTGGATGCCAGAAGCACAGTGGGATTACTCTTTTTCACCTTGTGGTCTTTTCAGATCACCTTTGGATCCTTCATCTAACATTATTAACTTAACAAGTATTTCTTGGTTACAAAAAAGCATTCAAGGGTAGAGACAGTTAAGGTGCTAAAAATCATTGATTTTTCATAGTTGTGATTCTCTGCTAAGTCATTGTGTTAAGTCATGCTGCTCTACTGAAATCAGGAGCATAATTTCTCCCTCATTGTAGCCTTCAAACACATACATTTATTTGGATACATATTGATACATGTTTGGAGGCAAGCACATGGATAATGAAAGAATGAGCAGCTTGATAGAACTGCTGCAATATCCTCCCTGAAATACAATTTTGACAAGGCTGCCTTCTTCACAAGTACATTTCTAATGTTTTCACAAAAAAGTCTCTAGAAAAACCAATCTAAAACACTGTGTTACAGGCTTTCAGTAGTTGATAAGCAAATCCATTAAGTTTGCTCACCTGGACTTAAAAAAAAAACCTATCCATAAAAACAAACATAGAAGCAAGGCAAAGCAAAACATCTTTCTTGAACAATGGGAAGGAGATTTAATGAAGGAGGTAGGTGCTGGCATGTAGTAGTGGGAAGATCGAATACACTGAAAGAGGAGATCCTAAATGCACACCGGTTTCTTACTACTCTGCTTGGTACTACTAGGGATAAAAGACATACATGTCAGCACTCCAGCTGAGTTAAAAAAAAAAAAAAAAAAACCCAAAAAAACAACAATGAAAATCAGGAGTGCAAGGTGACACTACGATAAAGGGAAAGCACATTTTCTTTCTTAAATTGCAACTACCCTTGGCAACATTTAATGTGAGATATTTCTGTGCCAGGTAAAGGATTTCCAGTCACTTAGAAATGCAGTTACCTGTGCAAGCATAGCCCTCATTCTCACCCACCCCCACACGGTTACATGCCTCTCCACCGACACATGCTTTTCCCTTATACATGCTTTTCCGATATTAAATCAGCCAGGTATCAGACAACCCTACCTTCCCAGCTCTTCTCATCACACAATGCAGTCAGATCCAGCTGGGGCACTTCGGAGACAAAGCTCTCCTGCTGGTCATTGGCATCTTGATTCCTCTGCTGTTTGGTGTCAGATATGCTGGGATGCTCCTGAATCTTCATCGTGGGGCTCTGCAATAACAGCACAATGTCCCCAAATATCTGCTGCTCACCAAAACCCAAAAATGCCTGCAGCAATTCCACTTACGGATGAAACCTCCCAAGCCATGGCTGCTAATGCACTTAGCACAGAAATCAAAATCATGGCTTGATGCCCCTGGGATACTAGCTGGTTACTTGCATGCAAAAAGCGACTTTCCATCTGTGCTCCTTTAACTTTTCTTCTGTGAGAGAGACAAGATGATTTCCCGGGGCTGTTCTTTCTGATAACTGCAGGCAGATGACAGTCTGGATGATTACTGATTGGGGCCAGGAATGAGAGAAAGGAGTTTGTGTTTCCTTAAAGGAGTATGGCTCTCCAGACTGTCGACAAAAACAACAAAAAGCTGGCTACTGCTGTTGCTAAGGCTGTAGTAGCAACATGGTGTCTCGCATGCAGACTTCTTTGCCCCTTAGGTAAACAGTCGTGCAAGGCCAGGAGCAGAGGCTGTGTACGCGGACGCTCCCTGCCGGTCCTGCAGGCTTAGCTCAATTAAACCGGGCTTGCTGCACATTCCCAGATTTCCTGTGGTTGTTTTCTCACTAAGTGTGGGGAGAACAGACTATTTATGGAGGAGCTCTGGGTATTAAAGCATTGTTGCGCAAATTCAAACGGCACAAGGGTTTGGCATCTCATCTCAGCTAGCAATAAGAAATACGGACTCTGGAAATGAGACAAAATTACACAGGGAGCATGACCCCCCCCCCCCCAAGTAAAAAAGCCAAGACAGCAAGTCAGTGATGCATAATTTATATCTCAACACATGCAATTGTCACTTGTTTTCCTACTATCCATTTACTCTGAGTATTAAATACTTGGCTACATTTGGTTTTGCTCATTGGTGGCACCCACACCAGGCTAGGACATCCGCGGGACTGAGGGATGGCAAAATCCTCCCCAAAGGGCTGATATTTAAGCTAAGTGATTTTATGTTCTTATAAAACTGCATGGAAATTAATTCTATTACACTGAAATTATTTTTTTACCTTGCTCTTTTGGCATCCTGTATACCCAACCACTGTCACTCTTCCCTCACTCATAAAATTATAAACAAAAGTGTTTATGAAAGAGTTTACTGACAAATATATCCTTGTAGCACAGCTCTGTACAAATGATTTTCTTTGGGAGTAACTGGAAGTTTATTCTAGCAAGTATACTATTTGAAAAAACTAAAAACATCTGGAAATCATAAGTGATTTCATTAATGCATGAGAAATGTTCTTATGCTTAAAATAAAGCACTTCTTGAGATTTCCAGCTACTTTTAATAGCTATCCAACACCCTTTTAAATCACCAGGGGAAAAGATAGGGCTTTTACTATTATATTTCCATGAAATGATGCTTCAGTACTTTTTTCACATTTGAGATACAACAAAATACCACCCATTAGGTTATGATGAGCCACTGAAGTCAGGTGGAAATGCCAAGTACATCTAAAGCTTTAAGACACTTAAAAAATGCCATTTGTCTATTGGAGAAAAAAAAACAGATTATGCATTTATATCACAAAAATTATTTGCTCTTTGACCTGAATCCTAAGTGGACCAGAGTTGAATGCCCAAATCTGGTGCTCAGCTTTTTAAAAATTACAGGATTAATCAGTCACCAACCGTGTGTGTGTGTGTGTGTGTGTGTGTGTGTGTGTGTGTGTGTGTGTGTGTGTGTGAGAGAGAGAGAGAGAGAGAGAGAGAGAGAGAGAGAGAGAGAGAGAAAGAGAGAGAGAGAGAGAGAATATCCATATAGCAAATAAAAATTTTCTCAACAAAGGTTTCTAATGCTTGTTACATTTAGAGCCATCAAAAAAAGGGAAGAATACAAGAAATATGATTTCATTTTTAAAGTATGGTATTTTCTTCCTGAGGAACATATATCAAGTCATTTAAAGTGTAATGCCATGGAAAGGACAAAGACTTTGCTGACAGGCAGATCTGAGTGTGGAGTGTGGCTCTGACATTTACTAGCTTGGTGCTCTGGCTGATTCCTTCTCTTCTCCAAGCCTCCATTTCCAAGTCTTTAAAACAGCATTAATGATATCAGTCCTGCAAGGTTCTCTTGAAGATCTGAGAGAAGATCTGGAAGGTCTCTAGCATGGCGCTGCAAGCATGAGACACACACAAATGGAAGCCATCATCCTTTCTATTATTATTTGACACCACACGAAGATGAACGAGTAAAACATTGCTAAGCCTTGAAATTGCTAGAGAGAAGAATTGGAGATAAGGAACATACAACTTCAATTTGAGGTGAAACATGATCCGACAAAGGATGGAACAATGTTTTAAATGTTATGAAAAAATATTAGCAAAAAGAACCACTAGTGTACTGTCATGAATCAGCAGCAGCAATTCTGACTTGGGGACAGACTGGTACGGGGGAGGGGCTGGGGGAGGGAAGGGTCCTTCGAACGGAAGGAAGGGGAAAAAACAAGAGAAAGGCAGGTACATGAGCGTGGCATGCTGGCTCACAGCAGGGAGGTTTGGGGTGGCCGGCCCTTAGCATGGGAAGGGGGGTGGCAGCTAGGTATTATCTATTTACATATCACATAAACATATATTACATAATGAGGCTGCCTACTATATGTGAGGTGCTAGACATGTAAAGATAAAATTCATTAATTCGTTCAAGAAATGATTTTTGAACACCTACTATGTGCTAGACAGATTTTTAGACATGAAGGAAACTGCAGTGGACAAAATAAAGTCTCGGTCCTAACAAATCTTACAGGAAGAAGTTAAGAAGAAAAAGATACCAGGACTATAGAGAAAAACAAGTCTCGGTGGTAGGGGTTGAGGCCTCCTATTTTAGACTGAGAGGTCAGAGAAGGCCTGCCTGATAAAGTGACATATGAGCAGAGATGTGAAGGACGTGGGAAAGCAGACCATCTGAGGGAAGAGCAGTCTGGGAAGAACGAGAGCAAGTGCAAAGGCCCAGGGGTGTGGTTGTTTTTTATACGTTTCAGGAATAGCAAAGAGGTCACTGTATCTGGAATCCAGCAAAGGACAGTCAGAACCACCATAAACGGGTGTTTAGGATATGCACTGAGTCAAATATGATGAGGCATCACTTAATCCTCTACATTAACTTACAAGAAGCTTCTGGAATTCCTGGCTGATTCCTGGCACAGCAGTGGAGAGATTCCTCCTACATAAACATACACCAGCTCACACAGCATGGACACACTTGGCACAGCAAACGCTCACAGCAAACACTCCCTTGACACTGCAAACACTCACAGTAAACACCTACCGCATGTGGAAATACACGTGCAGCTTGGCCCTGTCCTGCTGTGCTCTGATCAGTCCCTAACGTTGCTCTCTCATTTGCTTGCTGCTGCTAGAGTCTCGATTTCTGGCCCTGCTAGTACCTGAAGTTGAAATGGTTGCCTTGCGTGGGGTTGCAAAGTGGGCTGCTGATGGTTTTATGTGCACATGGGAGCCAGGGATGCTGCTCAGTGGCTGACCGTGGTGAAGGTGTTCAGGCTCTGTAGCAATATAGCAATATGCTAGCATAAAATCTGCTCTTCTGTCACGTGTCAGTCAGCTGAGTCTAAGTGAGGCACCTTGCCAGTTTGTTCCACACACTCTAATAATGCTTACCATATAGTATCACAAATACTGTCTACTTGCTTGTCTGTTTTTCCTACTAAATCATTAAGGTTAAAATGGCAGAGGCATTCTCAAATGCCAAAATATTTTTGGTTCCAACTTTTATTGTTTACATGTCTAATATCTTCAGTTAAATCACAGAGTAAATAAATTAATCTCACAATTTTCAACTCAGAGATCCTTATGCTATGATGTCAGACACAAAACTCTTGTCAACAATGCTGCACCAAATAAAAACATTAAATATTTGTGTATGAAATAAACTGAGTGTTTGGCTCTTAGGGGAGACACTATGTACGGCAGATAAGAATGCGTTTTGGAGGCAGACACTCAAGTTTCAATTCCAGTTTTACTAGTTGTAAGATCTTCAGTGAGTAAACCTCTTTGAACTTTAGTTTTTTCTCTATTATGGGAACAAGACTTGATAATGCTGTTGTGAGGGTTAAATGAAAAACATGTATAAAACAGACAGCCCATAGTAACTGTAAAAGAAATGTTATTTCTATTTACATCTTACCTCCCTTTCATCCACTCATTTGACAAGTGTGTACTGAATACAGACTATGTCCTAGGCACTGGAATTCAGGAGTGAACAAGATATAGGATTTAGTGTGGAGGACAGATGTTGCATATATGTGCCAAGTGTCATTTATGTTATTAAAGAAAAACACAGGGTGCTAGGGAGCAAATAGAGGAGAGAGTTCACCTTGCCTGGGGCTTCTGGTGACATTCCACTCTCAGGTCAAGGAGCCATTAACTTTGCCAAGACTTGTCCCTGTTTGGCTGGGCCTGGATTTTTCTATCCCCTGACTTGATCCTACCCCTTCCGTGCCTTCGAATAGTTGGTAAATTTTTGTTCTAACCCTTCTCCTTCCTGCACAGCTACCTATTAGCTTACCAGAGCTAGGAATGACAATATCAGAGAGTGTGCTGTATAATGCAGACCTGGATTTTTCTATCCCCTGACTTGATCCTACCCCTTCTGTGCCTTCGAATAGTTGGTAAATTTTTGTTCTAACCCTTCTCCTTCCTGCACGGCTACCTATTAGCTTACCAGAGCTAGGAATGACAATATCAGAGAGTGTGCTGTATAATGCAGCTTGCACAGGAAGAAACCACAGTGTTAATAGAAGAACCATATAGAACCATGAGTATTGTTTGGCCTGACAATAAAGAAAAATGGACATAAATTTCCAAAATCCATGTGAACTGCAAAGCTTCAATAGCCTTTTGTGACTGGATTAAATTGGAAGTGACTCTAAATAAATACAGCTTTTTAAAATTTTTTAGCTCTGATATTAAAACCAATAATAAAATTCTGAAGCTTCCATGAAAAAGAATGAAGTTGAAATAAGTCATCCATTTCATAAATACTTGTTGATGGGGATATTTCAGAAATCCACTTTTTCAGGGCAGATAAAAGCCTGCACTTGAGATCTTGTGATAGCTAATATTAACTTGACTGGAAAGCCTTGTCATCTCTCCTTTCTCTCTTACCTCTTTTTCTTCTTTTTTTAAAGCAGGATAAGAAAAAGGGAAGTTGTCTTTTGTTTATTGTGAATGTCTTGTTTGTTATCAAAGGTATGCTTCTAAGCTCTCTTAAGCAGTAGGCTTAGAAAGCATAAAGAATGTAAAAATATCTTGAAAGAATTTTACATTTCATTGACCTCATAATTCTGATGTAAAATGATCTCTCCCAGATAATATAATACTCTCCCATGTAGTTAATAATTTTTACTTGTTTTGCTTTCTTGACAAAGAGATTCATTATAAAGTTATAGTTTTAATATTCTAGATTTTATATGGAAGCATAAAATACTTTCACAGCAGAAAATAACTTAGAAGGAATTGAATTAAAGCATAAAGCATAAACTCCATTGTAAACAGAACTCTGAAAATCTGTACTTTCAGTGATATCTTTTAGAATCTAGAAATTGCTAGTTTTAAGAGATGTCTTCTCTTCTGTATACTTGCAGTTGTTAAAAGAATTTTAAAACAAAAGAACAAACACTCTAGACTCTGCATGCCCAGGGAACAGTGTGCTAGGCCCTTTCACGTCAGCTCATTTCATACAACCCAGAAAAGCTATTTTTTTTTTTAAATGTCAGCCTTTCCAAAACCTACCTGAAGAAACTGTACTTTAATATTTGGCATTTCGAAGTGACTCAACTTTTTTTTCCCATCGCCAGTGTGTCACTAATTAAATTTTAATCCAAACCACATAAGAAACTCATACAAATAGAAATGGGTAACTTTCATTGACCAATGCCCATCTGAGACGTCTTTTTGGATAAGATTGGTTGCATAATTAAAGGGAATTTAAAAGACATGCAACAAAGTGGTAAGCCCATGTTCACTTTCAACACATCTTCAAAGTAAACATATTTAAAACTGTGAATAGATTATTTTAAAAATAAAGTCACCATTGTGCCTTCATTTGCCTTTGAGAAGCAGACCTAAGATAAGCCTTTCTATGCCTACTGTCCCTCTAAGGAGAATCTCTGAGGCTGAAGGCTAGTATTTCTTCTTCTAATGGAAATAGTAGTCAAAAAAAGAAAAAAAAAATCACATTTCCTCAACAGTGCTGTGTTATCTTATATGAATCTGAGAGTTTACAAGGAGAATTTTACAGGACAGTATTAATGAAGACAAAATCTGTTTTAATAGAAAATGAAATTTGAAAAATTATCATATCCATTTATAGTGGGCATGTAAATTCTGCACCTTAATCTGATGCTACAGGAAACTGAAACAAAATAAATACTGGTTAAACAAAATCCTAGAAGGGCTAACCAAAGACTAGACTTATTTTTTATCTCTGAAATTTAGGGATTATTACTACTTTACCAGAAAACCAGAGTAACTATCTGTGTGGTATAACAAGTTTTAGGAAGTGCTACATGTATTAAAAAGTAAGAAATTACAACACACTGAAACAAGGAAAAGAGCTTTAAAAATGGGAAATGGATCTTTTCAGTCTTTCATGAATAATAATAAAACATTTTTTTCAGTGAAACAAATGCACACCTTCACTCATCCTGTGGAGTGATGTCTTATTTTCCTTCTTTGGTGCAGCTGTGATAGAAAGGTGACATGGAAAACTTAGTCTAGATTTTAACTCACCACCTAATTTTATCTCCTAACTGAAACTGCCATGATGACAATGATTATTAATAGTGAATGCTCAAGCAGTGCCAAAGATGCGCTGGGTGCTGATTGGTAGCTGCACATGTAAGAATAGGACCTGGCACGTGAAAGGAGGATTTAAGATTGTTTCCCCATGATTCACCCACTGCTATGGGAGCTATCCACAAAGACACCAAGGCAAACTGAGATCAGCATGAATTTAGCTTGGGTGCCACTTGGAATTTATGAGTTAATGTTATGAAGTCCATCCACAAAGGTTACTCTATTCTCTTTCATCTCATAAAAGAAACAGGCATAAAAGGGAAGAACTGAATAATATCACAAAATGTCCATTTGTTTTATAACAAAGCTTTTCATGCATTGATATTATTTCATTTATTTTAAGTTGAGTAGCTCTAAACCAAATTGAGTAACTCTAAACCAAATTCTTAGAAAATTCAAAAACAAAACAAAGCAAAAAATTAATCAAAATAAAACAAAACTAGAAACACAAGCAAATATGAATATGGTTATTTGCCTTTAATAGCATCATGATAGTTTCTATTCTAAGCATTTTCCTTGCTATAAAATATTGCCAGTAAACATTTAGTTCTTTAATTTCATTCTTTTTAGTTCTTATAACACACATTGCATTAAATGAAAAAAAAAATCTTTTCACACCTTTGGAAAAAATGTGAGGACAAAATTCTAAAATTACCTTTCACTGGACATCAGTTCAACATCATCAGGTCCAGTCCTCTCATGAGATTGTGTGGAATTGAGACCTTCCATATTCTGTAACAGAACAATTATTGATTGCTCAACAGGAATAGTAAGAAATATGCAACAGCAGACTCTCCTTTCTTTACAACAGAAAAACCAGACAATATGTAGGTATAAATCCTAGTCCTCATATTTCTAAGCTTGTTAAAACTAGTAAAACTATGATAGTTTATTATATAATGATGGCATAAAATTATATATTGTGCTTTATCATCCGTTTAACAAAGATACCTGACAGCATCAAAGAAATGGTCATTGTGCCTTATAATGTCTTAGTTAGGTATTATCCACATTTTATGGCTAAACATAGCAAAACCCAGATTGTCAAAGAATCAGGGTGGCTTTAGAATTGAACTAGAATTAGAATTGACGACTCTGACTTCAAATGTGATCAAAAACTGATGTAACGGGCCGAGCCCGTGGCACACTCGGGAGAGTGCGGTGCTGGGAGCGCAGCAGCACTCCCGCCGCGGGTTCGGATCCTATATAGGGATGACCGGTGCGCTCACAGCGCTCACTGGCTGAGCGTGGTGTGGCCAGTCTCAAAAAGGACAAAAAAAAAAAAAAACTGATGTAACTGTCACTGCTTATTTATTTATATCTTTTCAATATATATTGCCAATATGATCTTGTGGAATATGTAGCTTATAACTAAGCTGTAAAACACCCATAAAAAGAAATGGGGTTAATTTAAGAACCTTTCCTTCTGCAATATTTAATGTTAATCGTTATATGAGCTAAGATGGAAAAAATATAAACAGAAAACATACTTTGTCTAGTATGTATTTCAGGCTGCCAAGTAGGCTTAATGCTTCTCAGGAGTCATATTTTTAAGGTTTTATGACCGCCTCTGTAAATATGGCCAAAGCTTTCTAAACATAATTCAGGTGACTGAGCACAGAATAAGTTCATCATGCTCATGAAGGAAGATTACAAATAAGCAAACAAGAGCACATTTAAATTCAGTAGACTCAACAACACAGCTGCCTTGTAAATTTAGACCTGAATTTCACTGAACTTAGATTGATATCTTCATTCAAAGGACATTATGCATGACTTGCCCATCCTGTGTCAACAGAGTAAAGAAAGAACACGTATTGAAGCAATGTGTATTTGTCTACATATTAATAACCTCCCATTGTCAAAAACACTTTACAAAGTAAATCTGATTATAATCCCATGAAATTGGCATGTCTAAAAATCTCCACAAAATAAACATATAATGAGAATAGAAAACTAATCTTTTTTTTTTTTTGTCTTTTTTCGTGTCCGGCAACGGATCACAACCCTCAGTGTCGCACCCATACTGGACCGGGACCGGCAATGGGATTGCAACCCTCGGTGTTGCACCCGCACCTCGCTCAGCCAGTGAGCGGGAACCGGTCTGTATGTGGGATCCGAACCCTCGGCGGGAGCGCCACCGTGCTCCCAAGCGGCGCACTGTAGCAGTGCGCCACTGGGCCGGCCCAGAAAACTAATCTTTGACTTGGTAGATGGATGAATTATTTTCCATTTATATTGGCTTGGCCGACTTGTCTGGAATTCTTAGTTGACACTCTGTGCTCCATAAAGAATAGAAACAAAGGGAGACAGCATAAAATAATAGTTATGATGGTGGCTCTGGAGTGAGAATGCTTGGGTTAGAATTCTAGCTCTCTCATTTGCCAACTATACGACTCTAGTTGAGCCTCAGTTTCCTCATCTGGAACATGGAGATGGCAACAATACTTAACATAGAATCATTACTGAGGATTAAACAAAATAATACATGTAAAGCACTAGAATAATGCCTGGTACATTTAATGAATATTAGCTGTTGTTGTTGATATTATTATTTCAAAAGTTATAAAATCTCCAAGGAAAATATTTTACAGCTATTTATCCACAGTTAAGACAGTGTCCCAGGGACTAGAAAGCCAGTGTTTTATCTGCCATTAGAATATTGAGTATGAATTTACACACTTAGATAATTTTCAAATGAATCTTAGTAATAAAAAAAAATTATGACAACATTGAATTATATCTCTAAAGTTTGAGATGGAAGAGGCCTCTATAATACAGCTCCTGTTAAACCAAAGCATAATTGCTCTTATGACCTAAATGTGACCTTCCTGATAAAGAGCAATATATTTATGATAAAGAATCTTTGTTCCCATTTGTAATCTTCAATAGATTGTCAAAATCTTTAGTGTAAGATCTAGTGGAATAGTATTAGGCTTTCCTAAAGCTCTGAAATATGAATTCCCAGGGAAAGCACAATCCTCTGTCTCTGGATCATTTGAAAATAGTGTCAATGAGGGCCGGCCCGGTGGCGCACTGCTACAGTGAGCCACTTGGGAGCGTGGCGGCGCTCCCGCCGAGGGTTCGGATCCCACATACAGACCGGTTCCCGCTCACTGGCTGAGCGAGGGGCGGGCGCAGCACCGAGGGTTGCGATCCCGTTGCCGGTCCCGGTCCAGTACGGGCGCGACACTGAGGGTTGCGGTCCGTTGCCGGACATGAAAAAAGACAAAAAGGAAAAAAAAAAATAGTGTCAATGAAATGATATGTTTATAATTATATGCAAAGGACTATTTCAGAAGAAATAAAGATTTTCAGATTAAGGGTAAGAAATATTCAGAAAGAATAGGAGAGAACAGAAAATACATAAATTTAGTTATTTAGAAGATGTTAGAAAACTGATTTTTTTCCCCTACACAGAAGGAGCCAAAATGTAATCGATAGGTTTTGAGAATTATAAAAAAAGGTTAGTTTTGTTACACAATCGAAAGGTTTGCTAAAAGCAGTTGTGAGATGTGAGAAAGTGCAGCTGATCTCTGGGGTTAAAACAAGTGTTAACTTCTTAACTCCTTCCCCACCTCTTAAATGTTTGATCCTTATGTTTAAGAACTCTCCAAGGACCTGAGTTTTTACAGATGTAATTTACAAGGGTGACTTTCAATGTTGTTCAATATTCCTCTCTAAAGCTTTTCGATAATTTCAATTGTCAGGTTGTTTCTCCACACATTTGAAACAGTTGAATATTCATAGACTGATTTCAATAAACAGCGTGCAAGTACTCAGTGTTCCTTTGCTAAGGTAGTTGGGTTGCACCTATAACTTTTAGAAACAGAGAAGATTTGAGAAGTGTGTTACAACTAGCAAAGTACTCCAATTTTTTCACAATGCAACTAACAAGGGTAGTAAAGATCTACGAGTACCCTAACCAAACTACCTATTTCCACAGGCACCAAATGTTTTACAATAAATTCTAATTTTCATCATTTGTCTAGGGTTTAGGGCAGAAAGATTAAGATAAAGAAATAGATCACTTCACTGAGATGGGGGAAGAGGAAAATGGAACGCACAGGCCAATATAACGCTGAAACATAGAATGCTTCTATTGTATGAGGCGTGCTACTGGACTTTAAAACGTGCTGCTGTTGCTAATAGTCCTTTCCTATGAGAAAATATTGACTCAATGTCTTTTGAAGATTTTTGAACTGTGTTATGCTTCAAACACTTCTCTAGGTGTGGTAAAAGAGTAGTCCATTAATGTTTTTATTTATTAAAGGCCAAATAGAATTCTTATAGAAATGTTTTATTGCATTAACTTTTATTTTAATTAGTCTTCTAAATTCAGAATTTTTTAAAGCTATAAGTAATTTTTTAAAAATAGCAAAGAATAGATTATGATTTCAAATACAATTTAATGAAATTGCTTCTTGCACTGTCATTTTTTTTTTAAAACCCGATAAAGCCTATTTTATAATCCATAAAATTTTGACTCATAAATCCTACCAGTGACTTGCAACACAGATTCACTATGACTTCCCTCTGACATAATTTATTTTGATAATTTTTGGGTGTCAGAAGGAACTGAATTTTAAAAACCACCCTCCTCAATTATAAAAATAACCTCAAATCTAAAAGAGCAAAGGCCTTGATAAGGTTAGCTTTACACTATGGAATTTATTTTAAATTTTTCTTTACCCCCTCTGTGTGTTGGCTTTGAAAGCTAGGCTCAAAACCTGTTCGACCACTGACTGAAGCACTTGAAAACACTTGGAGCAAAAACAAATTTGTCTTCTAAAACTGTAAAATGCTGACAAAACCTTTGTAGAAGACATTGAAAAAATGCCTTCTCTCAGTATACAAACAGCTCAGTCTGAAGGCTGCAGGAATGCTGCTAGTCAAAACAGGTTCACTATTCTAACCTTGAGCTCTATGAGAAGGAGAATATTTGACATAGTTTTATTAATGAAATTAATGGTAAGTCTGAATTCCTTTGTGTACCCTTTTGTACATTTTATGTTTTATTGCTTAAAACCGTACAAGCTCATCCACATTCAAAAAGAACTACAGGTATCATAAGGGACCCCTATGGAAGAGCTTGCTAGCTGTCTACCAGGACCCATTCTACTTTTCTTTCATAGTAATAAAGTAGCCACATGCCCAGCGACAACACATTTGTGTTATGATTGGATATGGCCACGTAACTAATTTCTCTCCAGTGGGATGTGAGAAGTGACATATGTGGCTTACAGACCTGGCCAATAAAATGCCCCACCAGGTACATTCCTTCATGTTTATTCCCTTTCCGTGAGCTGGAAGCTACTTGCTGAAGACAGCAGAGACGCAGTTGGCCTGGGTCCCTGAAGAAATATGAGAAGCAAGCCTTCTACTCCCTTCTCTGGACCTGAACTTTTGCTTTAGATTGTCCCATGAGAAAGAACTTTTACTGTGTTTGAGACTTGAATTTTGGATCTTTTTGCTATGCAAGTTTCCCTAAACAGTTTGGCAACCATTCATGTACTCACTTTTTCCCAACACATAGTTCCAACTGAACTATGCAGAGCACTGGGGGTACAATGATGAAGGTGAACGAGACACCTGTCCTTGCTGTCATGACTTCTGTTGTTTGGCTACTGCCCCAACTATAGTTTGTTACACTGTTTTTATTACTTTCATTTTTATGACAGGTTCCATCTGAATAGTAACATTAAATATTAACTGACAAAATATAGAATCCAAAGAGGCCAGTGTATTTTTCCTTACTCAATAGTACGCAAAGGAAAGGAATCCTAGATGTGTGTACTGCAGTACCCCCTTATCCAGTTTTGCTTTCCGCAGCTTGTTTCCAGTGGTCAACTGTAGTCTGAAAATATTAAAGATATTTTAAGAGAGACCACATTTACATAACTTTTATTACAGTATGCTGTTATAATCATTCTTTTTATTATTAGTTATTGTTGTTAATCTCTTATTGTGCCCAATTTTTAAATTCTATCACAGGTAGGTACAGTATGTATAGGAAAAACCAGTGTATATAGAATTTGGTACCATCTGTGGTTTCAGGCATCCACTTGGGGTCTTGAATGTATCCCCCAAGGATAAGGGGAGCTACTGTATAAACATGGTGAGACTGATTTAAAAAGTTAGAAGAGCATTCACTTTTCTTAGATGAAAGATAGGTTGTGGTTAGAGCATAAGGACAGACCCTTGTTGTAATACGAAGGGGGCAGTAGGGGAAAACTGTTCTAATGAGACAGTCTTTAGATCAAAGTGATATGATCAGATCACTCCACTTGCCCACCAGGTCCCATCCCCTGTCACTTACTCAAAAACACAGCTCCTGTGGTGGAGCCCCCTCCCCGCATCAACACTTTGCTCTCTATCGGCTTATCTTACACAAATATTTTGTAACTTCACTGCTTTTTAAAAACCCTCCCCTAATCTTACATTCTCTCCCCAGCTGCTACCTCATGTTTCTTCACTCCTGTAGAACAAAACTTGTCCAAAAACTTTCCATACTTGTAGTTTCCAATCCATTTCCTCCTATTCTTTCTTGAATCTATCTAACCAGATTTTTTCTCCCACTTCCCCCCAAAATAGCTCCCATCAAGGTAGTTGTGGATTAGCTTGATATATGTGAAATTATCACTCACTCATTTATTATAATTTCTGTCTTCTCGTTTTCTCTTGACTCAAATCTAATAAGGATTTCGACTCTATGTTCTACCAGAAATTGCTAGTGGCTTCCTCTTGGTCTCTTTTTGCAGGTACCCACCCCCTCAATGCTGCTATGTCTCAGGGCTCAATCCTTAAACCCCTTCTTTTTGCCCTCTGAACTCAATCCCTAGGTGTCGGCTTGTCCAGTCTCAAGGCTTTACATACCAACTGTGTGCCAAAGATTTCCAAACGTATTTATTTCATCTCTCCCCTAAACTCCAGATTACTATATCTAACCGCCTACTTGACTTCTTTACTCATAAACATTTCAAGCTTAACGTATCTAAATGGACCTTCTGGTTCTCCCCCCTAACTCTCCCTGCAGTTTTCTCCACTGTAGTAACTGCAACTCCATCCTTCTGGCTACCCCCAAAATCTTGAAGTCCTCCTGCACCCCCTTCTTTCTTCATACCCACATCCAGTCCATTAGAAAATCCTCTTGGTTACACTCAAAAACATATCCATAGTCTGACCACTTCTTTCCACCTCCACTGCTATCACTCTTATCCAAATTGATATTATCTCTTGCCTAGATTATATCAATTATTTTACTTCAACCTTTGCCCATCTCTCACAACCCCTGCGCTATTCTTAACCCAGTTGCCAGAGTGATCCTTTCATAAGCTATGTCAGAAAGTGACTTCTTTCCCCTCTCAATCCTCTAGTGGCTTCTCATCTTATCCAAAGTAAATGCTGAAGTCCTAAAAATGGCTACAAAGCCTTAAGTGGTCAGGACTCCTGCTTCGTCTCTGACCTCATATACTACTTTCCTCTCTCAGCTCTGTTCTAAACACAGCAGCCACTTCCCCGTCCTCAAAAGGCTGAGCATGTTCTCCCGCCTGGATATCCTCTCCCCCAGTATCCTGACGGCTCACTTCCTTGCCTCCTTCAGATTCCCGCACACACATCTCATTCTCAGTGAGGCCCAACCTAAGTATCTTCTGTACAATATCTATCCTTAACCTCCCACCACTTCCTATCCTCTTTATCCTGATTTATTTCTCTTCATCTGGCTATACAGTATTTTTACTTGCTTCTTATCCATCTCATCCTATGAGAATGTAAACTTTAGGAAGGCAGAGTGTGTGTCTGTTTTGATCACCGGTGTGTCCGTAGCACCTAAAATAGTGCTTGTCACGTAGTTAATTGCGTGATTGAAGAAATTAATAATTTTAAGACAGTGATTCACACTGTTGGGCTTTTTTACATTATATTTGATGCCATCCAGAAAATCACTGTCATGCAGTTTTTGACAGGAGTTCTTGCTGAGCTGTGTTGCACTGAAAACAAAGGTTTGAAATTGCTGCTTTAGGTAGATGACTGTTTTGTGCAGCACATAAGGTGGTCTGAAGAGGGGGGAGAGTGGACATGTGGAATACGTTGCGTGGCTGTTTCAAAATTCCAGACTAGTTATAGTAAGGGCTCAGCTATGTGTTGTGATGGCAATACAAAAGGAAGAGGGAAAGCACAATTGCTCCTCATCTCACCCAGAATCTGCCTTCCCCTCCCCATTACCTCTTTCACTCTGCTCACTGCCTTCTAAACACAGTGGTGTTTCTGTGGTTCCTTGAACATTCCAGATAAATGATTGCCTGAGGGCCTTTGCACCTGCTACACCACCTGTATGGCTTGCTTCCTTACGTCTATTAGGTCTTTACACTTAAATGTCAAATTCTAGGGGAGGTCTTCTCTGACCATTTTATTAAAATTGCAAACCCTGCCCCTTCACAATTCCTGTCCCCATTCTATGCTTTATTTTTCTTCCTAGTAGTTATCATGATCTAATATATTTTATGTTTTTTATTTATCTTGATTACTGTCTGTTTTCCCCACTAGAATGCAAGCTCCATGAAGGCAGGAACTTTTACCTGTTTTTCTCATTACCGTATCACCAGGATCTAAAATATTTCCTGGCACATAGAAGGCACATAATTATGTATAATTCTTTTTTTTTTTTTGGCTATAAAAGCAAATGTTTGGTCAGAGTGTAAGAACTTGAAATGAGGTGGGGAAAGGTTTTGAAAGAGAGTTGAGGAAAGTAAAATTAGAATGTTAAAAATAAGTGGGAAGTGAAGATGCATAACCTAACTTTCAGGATGTAGTCTAAATACTAGTCATTGTTATGTTTCCTGACTCTTTGCATTGTGGTTACTTGTGAAGATTAGATTTTAAAATTCATGGAATGTGAGAGTTAGAAAAATGTTTGAAAACACCCTCACTTTACAGATTAGAAAGTTTTTCTTCTAAGTTGTGTTGGCAGGGTTTGAAATTATTCATTGCAAAAAAGACAAGGTCCACTGGGCTCACTTATGTTAACATGTGACAGGCATGATCCTGGAATGCGGAAACTGGCAACTAAGGTGGGGGCGAATCCTTTCAAATAAAATAGACTAAAATGGAATGAGGATCTCCCATCTAAATGTTTCTAAACAAAGACTATGTTCATAGTTTTATTGGTAAAATACGTATTCTAAGGAATAAATGTTCTTTTCCACTTCTATTAAGTATTTTCACCCAGCTAACATAAGACACTATTCCTGGTGGAAAAAAAATTATTGATGGGTTAAGTGCATGTAAAAAGGGATTCAAAGTACATTCTTTTTAAAGCTATAAAGCTAAGTCTCAGACTTTTAGTCACCATAAATCTCTTTGGCAAGATAAGCAAATCATGGGCCAAATAAAGAGCTAATGAAGTTAGTATTACTTATTTTTCTTAAAAACTTACTTTTCCCCAAAAAAGAAGAATTAAATCATCAATGTTAAAAAATAGTTAACACGCAGTGATTCTAAAGTTAAATTCTTTAGAGAACTCAGCTGGCCAGTAGCTCAGCTGGTTAGAGTGCGGTGTTACCACACCAAGGTCAAGGGTTCAGATTCCTTGTACTGGCCAGCCACCAAAAACCAAACAAACAAAATTCTTTAGAGAACTGTATCAGACATAAGTCTGAGGTGGATGATTACTTCTGTCCATTCTAGCTGATCAATTTACTTCTAGAAACAAAGCTTCATGACATTTGGGGGGAAAGTCACATAAATACGTTTTCTCCTAGATTGGCACCTACGTATATTTTACTAAGGGCAAAATTGGAAATCTTCTCTGAGCACACACATAAATTGACAATGAGAAAACAGGTGGCCTACAAGTTTTGCTAAATGTATGGAACACCCAGCATGGAGCTAAAAACTTATCAGAGATAAAGGAGATCAAGATGATTTGCACACTGAACAGTAAGAACGAATATTGCCTTTTTTATTAGAGAGTCAAGTTCATGTTATAAAATTTATCTTCAGTTTCTTTTTAAATATTTTTGAAACCAAAGGAAGAGAGAATTAGATGACAGACTTTGTTTTTCACTTTGTAGAGAAACTGAAACATAAATGAAAAAGGGTGATGAATGTAATAGTTATGCTGAATACATATTTAGTTATTTACTGAACCACTTATAAAAACTTATATCTCTAATTAATGATCCAGGGTTCATGTCTGAGGGAACTGTGTAGGGGATTAATTTTTTTTCGTTTCTATTAATTTGGGGAAAAATTTTTATATTTCTGAACATGAAGAGATTTCTGAACATAAAGATAATTGATTCTCTTTATGTATTTTTCTTTTACTTTGCTTTAAGATCATTTGTTAATTTTTTTACATAGTCGTATAGACAAGAACAAATAGAATGAAGAGAAAATGCTTTAGGAATAATTTTATTCTGAAAATAAAATTTTTAAATGTTTGAAAAAATGAGATAAAATCAGACCAATTTAAATAACATGAAATCAAAGTGTGTGCTGTCTTGTTCCTTTGGCAGAATGTAATATATTTCTTAGCCTTAATTTTTGCATTTTTTAAAAAGAAATACAAATGTGTATACCTGGTCTAAGGTCTCTCTCAGAACTCATATTCTATAATTCTGTGAATCTCAAGACTGAAATTATTTTTTATTTTTTTACAATGCAAGGAAAAGAGACGAAACATTTCCTAACTGACTACAAATAAAAATTTTACAGAAATATTCACTTACCACAAGACCATCTTGATTTCCAGTGAGCTCAGAAAGTTTAGTACTGGATTTTTGACGTTTAAGTTTGCTCCTTTCTCCAGTATAATCAGAAGTATTTTCGTGTAATTTTTCCATTTCCTGAGTATTCAAAATACAATCATTGAGGCTGTTGAACCCAGAAGGAATATTTTCTTTGTTGATAAGTCCCCTTGAATAAAAAAAAAAAAAAGAAAGAAAAAAAACAATTTTATTTTAAAAGGTAAAAGGGACACAATGATACTGTCACTGTATCACATCATACATAGGAATTCCAAAGAATGCTCAGAAGTTCCAGTTCGCGTCTTTGATCAAAATCTGAGTAGAGTGCCACTCCTGAGACTGCTTGGTGCCAAATAAATCACACTAAAAGAGAAATTATTCCCAGAGGCAAATTGGCAAGGACTATGTTTCTACCAATGAATGGCTTTTGTATTTTACCAAAAGCAATTTGTATTCAAATAGGGAGAATAGTGCAAGTTTACAATAAAATTTTCCATTATTCACAGTAGATGTTTATATATATATTTTATCTTATAAATGAATAAAATGTATGAAAAAAATCTGAAAAGGAAATATGATATGTCTTCTCTAAAAGACTTGATTTTCCCAAATGATAAAGACATTTTAGTAGAGTAGAAACATATTAATATTTAAATATCACTGAATTAGATAATCTTGGTAGAAATCATATAAGCTAATAAAAGCTATAGAATACAAAGCATTTTAACAAAATTATGGATTGTTACTTCCAGTACAAGAAGTTCTAGGATGTAAGCTTATAATGTGGAGGAGGTCTTTTAGAAGTAGATGTAAATGTCACAATTATAGAATTTAATTCATTTATTTTCTCAGTTTTAATTATTTTAAACATTCCTTTAAGAGATTTTCACAAAATTAAATTACTTAGCAAACTGTTTTTTTTAAAAAAAACTATATTATGGAAAAAATTAAACCATCAGCACAGTACCATTGCTTGGTAAGCTACAAATGAATGAGATTTTACTTTTCCTCACGGGATAATGGACTTAACATAGCTTTCAAAACATCTAAAGCTGTATCTGGAAATAAGTGAGTTCTAAAGAGTAAAAATAGGTACCATTATTTTACTATCAGCTCAACCATACCCCAAAATGAAAGAAAACATTACATATTTATTCTACAATCTAAACTCATAGCCTTAAAAAGGCTATAATGAAAGCAAAATTATGGATTAAATACTATCATAATATTTTCAAAGTGACGCTATCTTTCATAATTTTTAACGTTCTATATTTAATCTCATCTTATTTTCTACAACTTTTAATGTGAAAATACGTATTTTGTAAAATCATATAAGGTTTATGCACATTTATAAGAAATACCTTAAGGGCCGGCCCGGTGGCACACTGGATAGTGCGCCGCTTGGGAAGCGCGGCGGCGCTCCCGCCCGAGGGTTTGGCACCCACATACGGGCCGGTTCCCGCTCCCTGG